TGATTTCCTCAAAGCTCACAGCCAGCCCCGCCCTCCCAGACCTCTACGCACCGCAGGAAACGGCCGGGCGACCGCCTCTCCACCATCGTCGTGCTGAGCTCAGGTGCTCCTCCTCGCCCAGCAGCCTCGTGATTCTCCACCTCCCTGCAGCGCAACCCTCTCCATCCCCTCATTGCTCACCGCCCTCCGCCACACTTCCCCCTCTCCCCCTTTCCCCCCCCGCCACACCCCCCCCAACCCCCATACTTCCTTCCTCCTCTCCCTTCCGTTGCCGCTTCTATATCTTCCTGCGAGTCGTAGGCACCTCCCCCCCGTGTCCCCCACACACGGACCTGGCCACCCTCCCTGCGTGCCCCGGTCTGCCCCCCCCAGAGACGCTGAATCGCGTTTGCGTGCACTGCCTCGCCCACTGCTCCCTCGCTGCTACAGCACACCATTTCACACGCTTTTCTCCCATTCACCCCGCACATGTATCTCCCCTCAACCCCGCACGCCTGTGTGCCTCCTCCCACCAGGCGGGCGCACAGCTGAGATGCTGAGTCTGGCGACCTCGCTGTACCGTGCGCATTCTCACTACCAGCACTGCTATCACGCATACACACACCGGTATCTTATCCCTTCACTCCCACGCGTGTATGTGCGCCTGCCTGCCTCCCCCCAGCAGGCGGGCACACGGCGGAGATGCTGAACCTGGTGACGGCACTCAGCCCCGTGCACTACTCGCCGCGCTGCTACATCGCGGCTGCCACGGACGCCATCAGCCTGCGCAAGGCACGCGACCTGGAGAGCACGCTCGCCAAGGCAGCAGCAGGGGTGAGGACGCCCGGCCAGGGAATGCCACGCTGCCGGCTCTCGTGACATCAAGTCTCTGCCGTTCCTGGCTGTGCCACGTGCCCTTCACTGTGTGCCACATGCCCTTCACTGTGTGCCACGTGCCCTTCACTGTGTGCCACGTGCCCTTCACTGTGTGCCACATGCCCTTCACTGTGTGCCACGTGCCCTTCACTGTGTGCCACGTGCCCTTCACTGTGTGCCACATGCCCTTCACTGTGTGCCACATGCCCTTCACTGTGTGCCACATGCCCTTCACTGTGTGCCACGTGCCCTTCACTGTGTGCCACGTGCCCTTCACTGTGTGCCACATGCCCTTCACTGTGTGCCACGTGCCCTTCACTGTGTGCCACGTGCCCTTCACTGTGTGCCACATGCCCTTCACTGTGTGCCACGTGCCCTTCACTGTGTGCCACATGCCCTTCACTGTGTGCCACGTGCCCTTCACTGTGTGCCACGTGCCCTTCACTGTGTGCCACATGCCCTTCACTGTGTGCCACGTGTCCTTCACTGTGTGCCACGTGCCCTTCACTGTGTGCCACATGCCCTTCACTGTGTGCCACATGCCCTTCACTGTGTGCCACATGCCCTTCACTGTGTGCCACGTGCCCTTCACTGTGTGCCACATGCCCTTCACTGTGTGCCACGTGCCCTTCACTGTGTGCCACGTGCCCTTCACTGTGTGCCACATGCCCTTCACTGTGTGCCACGTGCCCTTCACTGTGTGCCACGTGCCCTTCACTGTGTGCCACATGCCCTTCACTGTGTGCCACGTGCCCTTCACTGTGTGCCACATGCCCTTCACTGTGTGCCACGTGCCCTTCACTGTGTGCCACGTGCCCTTCACTGTGTGCCACATGCCCTTCACTGTGTGCCACGTGTCCTTCACTGTGTGCCACGTGCCCTTCACTGTGTGCCGCATGCCCTTCACTGTGTGCCACATGCCCTTCACTGTGTGCCACATGCCCTTCACTGTGTGCCACGTGCCCTTCACTGTGTGCCACATGCCCTTCACTGTGTGCCACGTGCCCTTCACTGTGTGCCACATGCCCTTCACTGTGTGCCACGTGCCCTTCACTGTGTGCCACGTGCCCTTCACTGTGTGCCACGTGCCCTTCACTGTGTGCCACGTGCCCTTCACTGTGTGCCACATGCCCTTCACTGTGTGCCACGTGCCCTTCACTGTGTGCCACGTGCCCTTCACTGTGTGCCACATGCCCTTCACTGTGTGCCCCGTGCCCCTCACCTGGACCTGTCTCGTGGGCTGCTTGCTGCTGAAATTCCTCCCCACCCTACCTCTCCTCTCGCTCTCCCTCCCATCCATTTCAGACCTTTAGTCTCCCTTCTTTAGTTCTCAGACCCCTTCCACTGCCTGTTGACCATCTGACCACCTGCTTGCTGGTGCTGTGTCGGAGTCGCGAGGTGTGGCAGTCTTGCCGCACCTCCATCCATGCGGCTTCCCTCGCGCTGCACCCGTCCCTCGCCCCACCCACCCCAGGACGCACCCACTTCGCCCTCCTCTCCCCCCTCTCCCCCCACCTTCCTGTCGGTGTACCGGAGTCGTGAGGTGGGGCAGTCGTACGTCACGTCGGTGGCCACCACTGTGCTCGCCACGCTGCACGCCATGGCGCTCGTCGTGCGCATCACACCGGATCTGGTCAGTACCTTTGTTCTGCTCATCTGTAACCTGGTAACATGCCAACCTGGTACTCTGTAGCGTGCAATGGTCGGCCTCGCTGTTGCGCAATGTGTATCACGTAATGCTGTTGCGGTTCCCTGCCTTCCTACCATGCTCGTCATTCACCACACCTTCGCCATCCCTCTCTCTCCCCCACTCTGCAGCTGCTCTGCAACGGGCCCGGCACGTGCGTGCCGATCTGCATCGCCGTCTTCACGCTGCATGTGAGCGCATCCCATCCAGACACTGATCCATCTGCGCTCCATCCTGCTTCTTCACTCACCCTCATCTTCACCATCAGGCCTCTGCAACCACCTTATCCACCCCTCACACACTCACTGCCAAGTCTAACTCTCCACCATTTCCCCTTCTATGCTACTCCCATTGCTGCGAGCGCTAGTCCTCGATCGCATAAGGATTTGGCTCCTTTGCTTCCAACAAGTCCTGTCCTGTGTTTCAGCAGCATGCACAATCACCACGTCACCGCTCCCCTGTCCCCACTCTGACGGCCTTCCCCTTCCTCTCGCTCTCCTTCCTTGCAAGCATGCCGTGGGAATGAGGAGTGGCCTAATGCTCGTCGGAAGTGTGACTCTTGGCACATTCATCAAAAGCGAATCCCAGTCTCCCAATATCGTCTTGCTAGGTCCCGGGCAAGAAGAGCAGCAGCATGGTGGTTGTGGAGAGTGGGGCGTGAGTGCACCTGCTGTCACTCGCAGCCAGCCCACAGCACCGCCAAGTTTTCTGTCGCCGCTGCTCAACCCCCTGTTGCTGCATGGCAGGTGCTGGGCATAAAATGCAGCAGCATCGTGTTTGTGGAGAGTGTGGCGCGCGTTGAGAAGCTGTCGCTCACCGGCAAGCTGCTGCACCGCCTCGCCATAGCGGACCGCTTCTTCGTGCAGTGGCCCGAGCTTGCCAGCAGATACAAGGGCACGCGCTACGTGGGCCGCCTCATGTGACGCCAAGGCTTTTAGCTGAGCTGGTTCAAGCCGAACAGACTCAGTGGCGCAGTGCTGCAACACCTGGGAAAACAGACAGGTTCTTCGTGCAGCGGCTTGAGCTCGCAAGCAGCTATAAAGCCGCTCGCTACGTCGGCCGCCTCATCAGGGCCCAAAATTGGTTTTAGGCCACTCTTTGAGATCAGAGTAGGAAAAAAAAAATGCCCTGACGGTCAGAGCTAAAAAAATTCTAAGTCTGATTTGGCAGGGTAAAAAATTTCGAAGTCTTTGCTTCAAGTGTAGAACTCTTTGCACCCTTTCTAGCCTTGGCCATTTAAGGAACATTTTACATGAATGAAGTGGGCTGCACTGAGGTGTGGAAAGTGTTGGAAATATCTCAAGGACTTAAGCGTTTCTGAAGTGTAACACTGTACTCGAGGAAGATTACAGGGGAGCACGCGAGTCAACGGAGGTTACACGAGGGGGCGGACAAAGAATGCGAAAGGACTCGAAAGGTCGCAACTGGAGGTTGCGACTGACCGTTACAACATCACGGATGGTAACCGAAGCGGCAATCGAGTCGCTGTGCGACTCGATAAACCGTTCCTGTAACTGTATTCTACAACTGCTTTCTTATCTTCTATATATTGCTGTATGCTTGTTTCTTTAATCAATCACTTGTTCTCACATACTAGTACAAGGGTTCAACTGCCTCAACTTCCGCTGCACTACTCCAAGTCTCAAGTCTCTACAGCTGGGACTTAGTCTCTGCAAAAGATCCTAAGGGCTTTTCTCAGCCCAACATGGTATGAGAGCTGGTCAGAGATCAAAACTCCCAGCAACTACACTCCATCAACAACCAGCAACTCAACTTGATTCAACAACTCCATTGATTACAAGACATGGACAACAAGGGCAAGAAAGTCTCTACGGGCTCACCCAGCGCCCAAGAAACTCAACACGGCAACTCTGGTCTGCACACCTCAGGACTGCAGACAGAGACCGGGACTACTCAAGAAACAACGGGAAGAGTACCAGAGATGGTGACTCCGTCTCCCTCTTCAAGTGTGGACCCGAATCTCATGGAGAGATTCTTCAGCTTCATGTCACACTTCGACCAGCAGCAGCAGACAAGGACACCTGCGCACTCAACACAGAGCAATGGAGGGAATATGGGATTAGCGCCGATGAGCCTCGACAACTCATCCTTCGGGCGACACAACCAAGCGCCTACCTTTGCGCCTTATCATTCTTCGCCGGGGACGTTCGAATTCATGCCGCCCCGTGCCCAGCCAACAGCAGCTGCTTCACAACAAACACCGAATGAAATCTTAAGTTTACAGGCGCAGTTCTCACACGTGATCAAACTTCAGACATCCTCACCGTTCAACGGACACGACTTCTTTACCTGGAGCTTCGAGTTTGAGCTGCTGATGGAGGCCGCGCATCTTCTGGGATACTTCAACGGGTCCCTGCCATTCCCAAGCAACGGCACTGGGAAGGAACAAGAGATCTTCACGTATCAGTCGCTGCTGGCGTACACGGTACTCCTGAGAAACCTGTCACCACAAGAGCAGCAGAGCATCAGAACGTATCGGAGTTATGGAAACTCCGCGGAGCTCGCATGGCACCACCTCAAATGCCTTTACCAAGCAAACGACAGCGTGACACAAAGCAGACTCATGCAACAGCTGACAACAATACAGATGAAGACCGGGGAAAAGGCGATGCAGTATATGAGTCGCTGCCAGACCCTCCGCGACCGCCTGCTTCGGTGCGGAGGAACGATCACTGAAGAAAGCTTCGTGACACTTGTCCTCGCCGGGCTCGGGCCAGAATGGAGAACCACACGATCACTTCTTCGAGCCCACGGAAGAATTTCGGAGATGCACCTCTGCGCCGAGCTTCACGCTGAACAACAGGAGATGGATCTGTTCGAGGAAAGACAACCAAGGAAGCAACAGCAGTTAGTCTTCTACACTCAAAGAAGAAATGACAACAACTACAACCGACGCAGCAAGCAAGATCAACGCGACAACCGAGGACTCACCATCGTGCCGCCGTTCTGCCACAACTGTCAGACTTCCGGGCACTCCAAGGTCAACTGCAACCGCCCTCGCGTTTACCGTGCAGCAGACCCACAAGTCGCTTCCACTCAAGCAAGTCCTCCAAGGCGCTCTTCAACATCTGCACAACAAACACCCAACATCATCAACTGCATGGTACACATCGACAACTGCGCACCCGCTTCACCACCCACTTACGCACCAGACGAAGAGGAATTCCCGCCGCCGCGCTCGCAAGGACTTCAGGTCAACCCGACATACGCTGCAGTCGCTAACGCCGAACCCACCGGGCGGAACACCTGGTTCTTGGACAGTTGCTGCGGTCAGCACATGTGCTCCTCCGGACGCTTCGTACAACACGAGCGACGCCTCAACCGCGACGTCGTCATCACCGTCGCCAACAACGAAAACCTGAAAACAAACAGGCAAGGCGTGGTTCAGTTACAATCAATGGAGACAAACGTTATTCTTCAGCTCAACAAAGTCCTCATCGTCGACAATCTGGGATACAACCTACTAAGCGTAAGCCAACTAATGGCTAAGGGGATTCACCTGGAGTGCGACTCCTTCTCCAACGAGTTCCGACTTTACCACGGGAAGGGCGGTCTCTTCATCGGTCGTGCCCTCCTGAAGTCCGGTGTCTTCGTGTTGGACTTCGTCCCCGACCGCGGAACTGCCGACAGCGATGGCATCGTATCGTTCGCCGCCTGGACTCACCCACCAGATCTTGATCCCGACTTCGACAGTGACGGCTTCTGGCACTCCAACACCATACCTGCAGCAGAGAGAACACGGGCATTAGCAGTTATCAGACAAGAAAGACAAGTACCAGCAAGCGTCCCAACAAAACCATCACCTGCAGTATCGGCAGCAGGACCCAGCCGAGTACCACCACCATCAACACGAGGACCGCCAACGGACGCAGACCAACTTATGCCCGCCACACGAGAAGCTTGTCGAAGTCCCGCCTCGGTCGTCGCGTTCTTCTCCAACGCCGACATCTACCACCGCTCGCCCGGTCACCGCGCTCCCGACGACATCTGGCACCAACGTCTCGGACATCCTGCAAACAGCACGATACTACAAACAATACAAGCAGAGGTGTTAGAACGTAACGCACTTCTAACGACGAGCGGCCAAGAACTTCGCCGACCAAGAGCACGATGCTTCACGTGCCCCGAAGCAGATCTTCCTCATCAACCTTTCCCAGCCCATCACAATCCAAGCGCACCCACTTACGCTCCGATGGAAAAGGTCTACAGCGATATTCTAAACATGCCTCGAGACGACACCGAAGCCGACTTCAACTACGTCATCACGTTCATCGACGCCGCAACCAGATACGTCTGGCACTTCAATCTCAAAACGCGCGATCAAGCCTTCGAGGCCTTCACCACATGGCTTCCAATCGCCGAACGAGAGTCAGGAACCAAACTCAAGAGTTTCCAGTCAGACGGTGCACTGGAATACCAGTCACAACGCTTCAGGACCTATCTCGCGGAAAGGGGAATCCGACGCCTGGTGTCTCTGCCCTATGCTCACCAGCAGCAGGGGGTAGCAGAACGCATGAACCGGACCTTGCAGACGACGATGCGAAAACTGCTTCTGGGGATGAGGCTGCCCAATACACTGTGGCCAGACGCGATGACACATGCAGTCCACCTGCACAACCTGTTGTCCTCGTCATCGCTCCCCAACAACGCATCACCGCACCTGCTGTGGACGGGAAAAAGGGGCAGCACAAAATTACTTCGAGTTTTCGGCTGCATGGTACAATACAGACCCCACACAGCTCGAGCAGGACGCTTCACTCAACGAGCTCGGTGGGGACTACACCTCGGCATCGCCAAACATTTTCACGCGTGGAAGATTCTCGACATACACGACAAAAATACGGTGGCATCACGTGATGTTATCTTCTACGAGCGACTGACGCTGCAGCATTACCTGGACAACATTGCCAACTCAGACGACCCCACCGACGGCTTCGCGGGCCTTCGCTCCTTCGCTGACCATGCTGCCGAGGCTGACGCAGCAGAAGAAGACGTCCCTGGAGCCTCGGAGGCTGCCGGACCACTCCCCTACTGCTCCGTACCTGTTCCACTCGATGAAGATAATCCCCTCGATAGCAACAACCTCGACACCTTTTACCACTTCGCTGACCAAGGCTACGCTACACCACACCCCGTCGACTCGAATATTTCCGAACGCATCGGGCCAAACTTCTTACCCGATCCTGAAGACGGTGATGAAGCAGCTTATCCCGAGAATGAAAACTCCCCTCGACACACAGCCACGGGACTGCAGATCCTAGGACTATGGGTCTCCGTCCAGCACCCGCCGCCGCCTTCTCCGCGCGAGCCGTCGACCCTGTCGCAGGCTCTGGGGGGGGAACATAAGGCACAATGGAAGGAAGCGATGGAAAAAGAGTTAAAAGCTCTGCAAGACCGAGAAACATGGAAACTGGTACCTGCAACGAGCATCAACGGGAAGAACATTCTCTCGGGGAAATGGGTGTACCGCATCAAGACCAACTCAGACGGCTCCATCGAACGATTCAAAGCTCGATGGGTCGTACGAGGCTTCGATCAACGATACGGAACCGACTACACAGAAACCTTCGCTCCAGTCTCCCGTCACACCTCTCTGCGCATCCTACTCGCCATCGCGGCCACGAAGAAACTACCACTACGGCAAATCGACGTTGCAAACGCCTTCTTGTACGCACCTGTGGACGCCGAAATCTTCGTCGAACAACCCCACGGATTCATCGACGACCCTTCAAAAGTATGCCAGCTGGAAAAATCCCTTTACGGGATCAAGCAAGCCCCACGGCTCTGGCAGCAGCACCTTCACGGCCGGCTCGTAAAAATCGGATTCCTACAGCTACCACATGACCAAGGCATGTACCGACTACAGAAGGGAAGAGATTACATTCTGCTCATCGTCTACGTCGACGACCTGCTCTACATCGGTTCTACCACCGACATCGTCACCTGGTTCGAAGGGGAGCTGAAAAGGGACCTGACGCTCACGGTGTCCGACGAAGTTACCCAGTACCTAGGACTGAACATCGTCGAAGACGACACGGCGTTCTACCTACACGCTGGAAAGTACTCAAGCACCGTCGCGAAGAAATTCGGTCTAGCACCGACTGCGGTCCCAACTCCCTACCGCTATGGGAACAACAGTAGCGCCTCCACAAAACTCCCCGCGAAACAAATCCAGGAGTATCAACAGAAGCTCGGCTGCCTACTATTCGCAGCAGTAACCTGCCGACCCGACCTATCCTATAGTGCGAGTCAGCTGGCGACACATCTGAAGCAGCCGCAACAGGAAGATCTCGAAGAACTCAATCGAGCGCTACTCTACTTCGTCTCCACGCCGACGATCGGGCTCACCTACAGCAAGGCAACAACACCGTCCGTACAACTACTCGGATACGTCGACGCCGACCACGCGGGAGACAGCGAAAATCGACGGTCTAGGACGGGCTACATCTACCGACTAGAACCTATCGGAACTATCTCCTGGCAGTCGAGCAAGCAGGAGTTAATCGCACTATCCTCGGCTGAAGCAGAGTATATCGCCCTTTGTACTGCGACCAAGGAAGGACTCTACCTACGAGAGTTACTCGAAGAAGCGAAGATCGCGACCCTGCCCGCCTTCTCACTCCTCTGCGACAACCAATCTGCGATCAAAATCGCGAACAAGGACGGCTTCGCCAACCGAACCAAGCACATCGCCCTGCGGTACTTCTTCGTCAAGGATGAAATCGCGAAGGGGAGACTTCAACTCAGTTACTGCCCGACGACAGAAATGGCCTCAGATTATCTGACGAAGAAATTGGCGAAAGCAAAATTCGACTACTGCATGCTCCTAACCGGGCAAACAAACGTCACCGGATCTGAACACTCCAGCACTCCAGAAACGAAGGGGAGTGTTGGAAATATCTCAAGGACTTAAGCGTTTCTGAAGTGTAACACTGTACTCGAGGAAGATTACAGGGGAGCACGCGAGTCAACGGAGGTTACACGAGGGGGCGGACAAAGAATGCGAAAGGACTCGAAAGGTCGCAACTGGAGGTTGCGACTGACCGTTACAACATCACGGATGGTAACCGAAGCGGCAATCGAGTCGCTGTGCGACTCGATAAACCGTTCCTGTAACTGTATTCTACAACTGCTTTCTTATCTTCTATATATTGCTGTATGCTTGTTTCTTTAATCAATCACTTGTTCTCACATACTAGTACAAGGGTTCAACTGCCTCAACTTCCGCTGCACTACTCCAAGTCTCAAGTCTCTACAGCTGGGACTTAGTCTCTGCAAAAGATCCTAAGGGCTTTTCTCAGCCCAACAGAAAGAAGGGTGTAGCGGATTTGCGCGTGCTGGGGGAGATTGGGGGATGGGATGGGACGGAAAACGATTCTGGGGCGCGAGAGGGGAATCAGATTTACATGGGCGGCAGAGGGGCGGGAAAAAAACCATCTGCTCGTGATTGGTTGGGTGTCAGAAGGGCGTATACGACGTGACGTGTCTTGCTGTGGTGTGGAGGACTTAGCGAAAAAAAAAAAAAAAAAAGTAGCGGGGGTGTGGTTGGGAGGCATGTCTCTTGTGGGGGACTTAGCCATTTCTGGGTTGCGAGGGGGTGAGGGAGCTATGACTCTGGCTACGACTTAGCCGAAATTGCTGGCTTGCATGGTGCGTGGGGTGGGAGGAATGACTCTGGCTGCCAGGGACTTCGTCGAAATTTTTGGTTGCAGGGTGTTTTGGGGGAAATGTTTCTGGCCGCCAAGGACTTAGTCGGAATCTCGGAGTTTCGATACCAGGGTAGTTTTCAGGACGCCCTGAAGGGTCAGGGTTCGGGGCCCCGCAACCCTAGTTTCGGCAGGGTAATATTTTCGTAACACTTTTTGGATCAGGGTAATAAATTTCGTAAGTCTGATTTTTAAGACCAAATGAAAAAATGCCCTGAAAAATCAGGGCAATCAGGGCATTTTACCCGGCTAATTTGAGCCCTGCGCCTCATGTGCCTCGAGCACAAGCTGAGGTGACTTGAACTATGAGGCAGGCTGCTGCACCCGCTAGGCAGGCCTGTGGGACAGATTTCCCGTGGTACGTTAGCCACAGCTCGCCACCACACCCTCAGACTGAGGTACACTCGTTGCCTCTACTGGACACAAGATAACTCAATAAATTGTTGTACGTTTGACAATGAACAGAAAAGTCTTCATTGCACGATCACTACCGGACGAGCAGGTGGCATTGAGACCACCCTCCACCACCCAGCCCTCTCTACGCCCCCAGCTGCTTCACCAGCTTGCCCCGCCCCAGCGCCAGGGCCTCCTGCAGCTTCTCCGGCTGCCGCCCCCCCGCCTGGGCGAAGTTGGGGCGCCCCCCACCCCCTCCCCCGCACACGCGCGCCATGGCACCCACCAGCTTGCCTGCATTCACACCCGCCTTCACCACCTGGGGGAGGATGCAGGTTGAAGGGAACGAGGGGAGAGATAGGGGAGAGAGGGGGCATGTTGATGGGCAGCACAGCAGGGGGGTGCTGGAGGCGCCGCCTCACACCACACTCTTGCCATGGCGCTCACCAGCACGCCCGCGCTCAGCCCCGCTTTCTGCACCTGGCGCAGCACGGGGGATGGGGGAGAGAACGAGGTGCGGGCGGAGGGCAGTGGGACAGCGGGAGTGTGTGGAAGATGCATTGTTGATGGCGTGGAGTCCAAGCCAGTAGTGCGCATAGCAGTGAGAGAGCATGGCACCACATGACCCCGACACACTGCATGCCCACTCGCCCTCACCTCAGGGCTCAGCACGGCCACGATGGCCACCTTGCCCTCGTCCTCGCTGCCCGACGCCAGCACCACCGCACTCGGGCTCGCATCAGCAGCTGCGAGACGCGCCGAAAGGCTCTCTGCTGCCGTCTTGAGCGCATCGGCCGTCACCCCGGGCAGCTCTGCTACCAGCAGCCTGGGAGGGGCAGGGGAGGGAGACACGGTGACGGTGCTGCTTGCCTTGTGTGGGAGCCAGACAAGGACCAAGTGTGCTTTGTAGCGCGCTAGGGAACCTGGCGGGGGCGGGATATCGATCCCCTCCTCCCAAGCCCCCTCGCCATAAATTTCCACGCATGCTGCCACCCCATCACCCCCCTCGTCTGCACCCCATGCTCACCTGCACCCCATCTCCCCCACAGATACCGCCTCCCCCAGCAGCAGCTGCGCACGTGCCACAGCCAGCTCGCCCCGCAGGCTGTCCGCCTCGGTCCTGGCGGCACGCAGCTCGTCCTGCAGGGCGGCCACCCGCGACGGCACCTCCTCCGCCTTCACCTGGCCGGGGGGGGAGCGAGAGAGGGGAGAGCGGGGTTGGCAGGTGCGCGCCAAGCTAAGCGCACCCTTGAGACGCTCCGCCTGCACTCCTTGCTGCCTGCTGCTCGTCCTGCGGTGCCGCTTGGGATGGCACCAATGGGGGCTGGGGGTTCAGGAGGGGGGGGGCGTGCGGTCGGGTGCAGGGTGGTGCCGAGGGGTGGTGCAGGGTGGTGGCGAGTGGTGGTGCAGGGTGGTGGCGAGTGGTGGTGCAGGGTGGTGCCTAGTGGTGGTGCAGGGTGGTGGCGAGTGGTGGTGCAGGGTGGTGGCGAGTGGTGGTGCAGGGTGGTGGCGAGTGGTGGTGCAGGGTGGTGGCGAGTGGTGGTGCAGGGTGGTGGCGAGTGGTGGTGCAGGGTGGTGGCGAGTGGTGGTGCAGGGTGGTGGCGAGTGGTGGTGCAGGGTGGTGCCGAGTGGTGGTGCAGGGTGGTGCCGAGTGGTGGTGCAGGGTGGTGCTGAGTGGTGGTGCAGGGTGGTGGCGAGTGGTGGTGTAGGGTGGTGGCGAGTGGTGGTGCAGGGTGGTGGCGAGTGGTGGTGCAGGGTGGTGCCGAGTGGTGGTGCAGGGTGGTGCCGAGTGGTGGTGCAGGGTGGTGCCGAGTGGTGGTGCAGGGTGGTGGCGAGTGGTGGTGGAGGGTGGTGGCGAGTGGTGGTGCAGGGTGGTGCCGAGTGGTGGTGCAGGGTGGTGCCGAGTGGTGGTGCAGGGTGGTGCCGAGTGGTGGTGCAGGGTGGTGGCGAGTGGTGGTGCAGGGTGGTGTGGGGGAAGAGAGAGGAAGCGGAGAGGGCGCACCTTGAGCGAGGAGGAGAGCGTCTTGAGCACCCCGTCCCACTGGTTGAGCAGCTCCACTGCCGCGGCACCCGCCACCGCCTCCATGCGCCGCACACCCGCAGCGATGCCCGCCTCGGAGAGCACCTTGAAGGCGCGGATGGCCGCCGTGTTGCCCACGTGCGTGCCGCCACACAGCTCCATGCTGATGCCCGGCACGTCGATCACGCGCACCTGGTGAGTGTAAGCCAGACAGAGGGGCCACGTGGGGGGAGAGAGAATGTGCAGAGTGGAAAGGAGTCTCAAAGCACGTGCATTCCGCCGCACAGCTCCCTGCTGATGCCCGGCACATCGATCACCCACACCTGGTTGGGGTAGCGGGAGAAGGATTGGGGGAGGGAGAAACACGTGCGTTAGAGGGATTGGTTTCTATCACGTGCCCTTCACACTCCTGCCATCTTCCTTCGAAGCGCCATTGCAAGTTCCCTCAACCCTTCCCCCCCCCTTCCCCCTCTCCCCTCTCCCCTCTCCCCTCTCCCCTCTCCCCCCTCCCCTGCCCTCGTCCCTCCTCCACCCCGCCCTCTTCCCTCCCCTCTCCCCTCCCCCACCGTCCCCCCCTCCCCTCTCCCCCCTTCCCCTAACCCCTTCTCCCCCCCCTCACCTCGTCGCCATACTTCTCCCCGAACATTGCAATGGCACCAGCCGCCTTGGCGTCATCGATGGGCATCACAGTCGCCGTCACAGCAGCGCCCTGCGCGATCCACGCGTTCACCATCGCCTCCACCTGCGCCACCTCAGCGGGGGCGAGGGCGCGCGGGAAGTGGAAGTCGAAGCGCAGGCGGTCAAACGCCACCAGACTGCCCGCCTGCGCCACGTCGGGGCCCAGGACCGCGCGCAGGGCGGACTGCAGGAGATGCGTCGCCGTGTGGTGCGCCTGAGGAGGGGGGGGGGGGGGGGGGGGGGGGAAGAGAGGACGAAAGAGGGGAGGTGTTGGGGGTCAGAGAGGGGGAAGGAGAAGGCGGCGGTGGTCGAATCAAATCTGGGATACGAGAGGAAGCAATGTGTGAAAGAAAAACGCCCACATTTTGGCACCGCAAGTGAATGGAGGAGAGTGGGTAAAAGACCTCTTTGTAGTCCAAACACACTACAGCTGCCCCCCCCCCATTGAAGCATTGCCGCATCGCCTCACTTCAACTCACCACCTGCCCCTCCACTCTAATCTGCTCCTCTTGTCTCACCTGCGATCTCACTCTCACCTATGGCCTCATGTCACCAGTGGCCTCATGTCACCTGTGGCCTCATGTCACCTGATCTCAGTCTCACCTGCGACCTTAGCCGCTGCTCCTCATCCACCACCGCCTCCACCTCGTCGCCCACACACACCTCCCCCTCCTCCACCACCCCCCTGTGCAGCCACAGCCCGCCCCCCGCCCTCTGCACGTCCCTCACCCGCACCACCCCTCCCCCTGCCTGCGCCCCCCCCTCCCCCTGCGCCACTCTCATGTGCCCCCAGTCGCCGATCTGCCCGCCGCCCTCCGCATAGAAGGGCGTGCGCGCCAGCACCACGTCCACCTCCTGCCCCACCGCTGCGCGCTCCACAACCTTCCCCTGCCCGACCAGGGCGAGCACGGGCGAGGAGGAGGCGAGGCATGTGTACCCCACGAACTCCGTCTCGGGCAGCTGCCCCGCGAGGTCGGCCGCCACACTGCCCACTGCCAGCTTGATGGCGCTGTGCGCCGCCTGCGGGGGTGGCACGGGGGGGTGAGGGAGGTGGGCAAAAGAGGGACGGGCGCAAGGTGTAGCGCAGGCGAGGGAGAGGCGTTTCAAGCAAGGTAGATTGGAAGAAAGGACAAGCAAAGCAACCGATGATCGAGGAAGTCGCGAGGAGAGAAGAAGAGAGCATGCAGCAAGAGACAAGGGAGCGCTTGCCTACATCCACGCCCAATGGGACTGCTGGTACCTGCGACTGGCGCCTCTGCGCGGCCATCTCCCTCTCAAAGCCCTCCAGGTCCACGGCGACGCCCCTCTCCCGCGCCACCTCCTCCGTGATCTCCACGGGGAACCCAAACGTGTCGTACAGCACAAACACGTCCCGCCCGCTCAACACAGGGCCGCTCGCCGCCTCCCCTTGCCCCTCCGCTCCTGCCCCATCAGCAGCAGCCCCGTGAGTAGCACCGCCAGCACCAGCAGCAGCCGCCAGCGCGTGGTCCAGCAGGTCGTCCAGCAGCTTCTCGCCGCGCTCCAGCGTGGCGGTGAAGCGCTCCTCCTCCCGCCGCAGCTCCTCCACTATGCGCTCCGCCCGCACCGCCACGCCGCTGTTGATGTCCGCGCTCATGGCGATCACCTGGTGGGGGGGAACGCCAGGGGCTGCGGTGAAGGGCTGGTCGCCTCATCTCCTCCCGCCTCTGCTCCTCCACTATGCGCTCCGCCCGCACCGCCACGCCGCTGTTGACGTCCGCCCTCATGGCGATCACCTGGTGGGGGGGAACGCCAGGGGCTGCGGTGAAGGGCGGGTCGCCTCATCTCCTCCCGCCTCTGCTCCTCCACTATCCTCTCTGCCCGTGCTGCCATGCCGCTGTTGACGTCCGCCCTCATGGCGATCACCTGGTGGGGGGGAACGCCAGGGGCTGCGGTGAAGGGTGGGTCGCCTCATCTCCTCCCGCCTCTGCTCCTCCACTATCCTCTCTGCCCGTGCTGCCATGCCGCTGTTGACGTCCGCCCTCATGGCGATCACCTGGTGGGGGGGAACGCCAGGGGCTGCGGTGAAGGGCGGGTCGCCTCATCTCCTCCCGCCTCTGCTCCTCCACTATCCTCTCTGCCCGTGCTGCCATGCCGCTGTTGATGTCCGCCCTCATGGCGATCACCTGGTGGGGGGGAACGCCAGGGGCTGCGGTGAAGGGCGGGTCGCCTCATCTCCTCCCGCCTCTGCTCCTCCACTATGCGCTCCGCCCGCACCGCCACGCCGCTGTTGACGTCCGCCCTCATGGCGATCACCTGGTGGGGGGGAACGCCAGGGGCTGCGGTGAAGGGCGGGTCGCCTCATCTCCTCCCGCCTCTGCTCCTCCACTATCCTCTCTGCCCGTGCTGCCATGCCGCTGTTGATGTCCGCCCTCATGGCTGTCACCTGGTGGGGGGCAACGCCAGGGTCTGCGGTGAAGGGCGGGTCGCCTCATCTCCTCCCGCCTCTGCTCCTCCACTATCCTCTCTGCCCGTGCTGCCATGCTGCTGTTGACGTCCGCCCTCATGGCGATCACCTGGTGGGGGGGAACGCCAGGGGCTGCGGTGAAGGGCGGGTCGCCTCATCTCCTCCCGCCTCTGCTCCTCCACTATCCTCTCTGCCCGTGCTGCCATGCCGCTGTTGATGTCCGCCCTCATGGCTGTCACCTGGTGGGGGGGAACGCCAGGGTCTGCGGTGAAGGGCGGGTCGCCTCATCTCCTCCCGCCTCTGCTCCTCCACTATCCTCTCTGCCCGTGCTGCAATGCCACTGTTGATGTCCGCCCTCATGGCTGTCACCTGGGGGAGGGGAAGGGGATGGGGGGGATTGGGAGTTGATGGGAAGGGGGGAGTTGAAGGGGGGCTTATTGCGCCTCCCCCCGTCTCAGCTCCTCCACGATCCGATCTGCTTGCCCCACCACGCTGCTGCTAATGTCCTCGCTCATGGCCATCACCTGGTGGGGGGGGGGTCGGAGGAGGTGGGGGAGAAAGGTGAGAGGGGCGAGAACAAGTCACAAGAGCACGTGGCACACACACGCCCCATGCTACAGCGCGGTCAGTCCGCCCCAGCACGTTGTTGCTGGCGTCCGCCGCCATCCATCACCCGGCGAACGGGATGCGATGGAGACGAGGCGGCACGCACGTGGAATGACAAGCGCAAGAATGAACCACGTGACTGAGAGGCAACCAAGTGACTGAGAGGCAACCAAGTGACTGAGAGGCAACCAAGTGACTGAGAGGCAACCAAGTGACTGAGAGGCAACCAAGTGACTGAGAGGCAACCAAGTGACTGAGAGGCAACCAAGTGACTGAGAGGCAACCAAGTGACTGAGAGGCAACCAAGTGACTGAGAGGCAACCAAGTGACTGAGAGGCAACCAAGTGACTGAGAGGCAACCAAGGGACTGAGAGGCAACCAAGTGACTGAGAGGCAACCAAGTGACTGAGAGGCAACCAAGTGACTGAGAGGCAACCAAGTGACTGAGAGGCAACCAAGTGACTGAGAGGCAACCAAGTGACTGAGAGGCAACCAAGTGACTGAGAGGCACCCAAGCGACTGAGAGGCAGCCGGCGCAAGATCTCACACCTGCTGAGCGATGACTGGCAAAAACGCAGAGCCGCTTGCCCCAGCGGCACTCCCATTGCCATTCCCGCCCTCGCTGCTGCTGCCCCCTGCGTTTATCCCCAGGAGCCTGCCCATGCGCACAAGCCGTCTGACCAAGCGCCGCACCACATAGCCGCGGCCGATGTTGGACGGGTTGACCCCGTCCGCCACCAAATGCACCACCGCCCTCGCGTGGTCGCCGATCACCTGCAGAGCAGAGAAGGGCGCGGACGAGTGCGGTGGGGTGGATGATCGGGCATGTCACCTTCCCCATTCCCACCTTCCCCATTCCCACCTCCCCTTGGTGCGCACCTTGCGCTCATCCCTGCTGTGGTGGTCCACGCCTGCCAGCGCTGCCGTGGCTGGCTGCCGCTTCAAGTGAAGCTCAGGACCCCCGCTCTCACCCTGAGCACGCCCTTGGTCCTCTCATCCGCCACGTCATCGTCCACCCGCCTGCTCTACTCTCACTGCGTCGACCACCTTCTTTGCTATCCCCACACACACCTGCACCGTCAGTTCCCCGCTCTCACCTTGAGCATCCTCGTCGTCCTCTCATCACTGCTGGGGTAGTCGACGGCCGCGAGCTGCGCTATGGCTGCTGCTTCAAAGCACCGAATCCCCACCCTCCCCTTCGGCAATCTCACCTTGAGCATGCGCTTGGTGCGCTCATCGCTGCTGTGGTAGTCGACGCCTGCCAGCTGTGCGGCGCGCTGGATGATGGGGAAGATGAGGTCCGTCTCGTAGTTACTGGGCACCTGGGCAGGCGGTGTGGGGGGGGCAACAGAGGGCAGGTGGAATGGTGGAGAGATGGGCCGTGGGACGATAGGAGGCGCGTTGCTGGGGAACTGGGAGGCCCATGGCAAATGGCAAAGGCGAGAGACATGTCCAACGGGAGGAAGAGAGAAGATTGGCACATGCTACCGGGAGTCTGGGACTGAGATTCCAATGCGGGTTAACTTCTTGAAACTTAGACACCGGCGTTAACATCACTTGTGCTTTCCTCTCATGGTATATTGATGATTTTATATGTCAGCCGTAGCATCTGCAGACCATTCGAGAGAAAGACCGTTGCAGCCATGCCAGCAGCAGAGGCAAAGAAACAGCAACAGCCGCGCCCAAATTGAAGTTAGCCCCGCCTGCTGCAAGATGTGCATCCGTGGCTCCAAGCTGTTTCCGGTGTTTCCCGTGCTTCCCGTGTTTCCCGTGTTTCCCGTGCTTCCCGTGCTTCCCGTGCTTCCCGTGCTTCCCGTGCTTCCCGTGCTTCCCGTGCTTCCCGTGCTTCCCGTGCTTCCCGTGCTTCCCGTGCTTCCCGTGCTTCCCGTGCTTCCCGTGCTTCCCGTGCTTCCCGTGCTTCCCGTGCTTCCCGTGCTTCCCGGGCTTCCCGTGCTTCCCGTGCTTCCCGTGCTTGCCGTGCTTCCCGTGCTTCCCGTGCTTCCCGTGCTTCCCCTGCTTCCCGTGCTTCCCGTGTTTCCCGTGCTTCCCGTGTTTCCCGTGCTTCCCGTGTTCCTCATGCGCGGCAGCTCCAGCGACCCCTGCACGCAGAGCACCTGGCATGGCACTGCAGTGCTGCGAGCAGCACACCCAGCCAACGACACCTGCTGCAGGATCTGCACGAGTCGCTCGATCCTCCTGTGGATGCTCTTCACCCTGAGGGGCTTCAACCATGCCAGCCGCAGTGTCACCAAGACACCACAGGCAACAGAACCCAACCCGCCCCCCCCCACCTGCTGCAGTATTTGTGCGAGTCGCTCGAGGCCCAGCCCGGTGTCGATGTTCTTCTTGTGCAGCGGCTCCAGCGACCCGTCGTCGCGGCGGTTGCTCTCCATGAAGACCAGGTTGTAGAACTCGATGAAGCGCGTGTCGTCGCCCAGGTCCTGGTGGGAATGGGGAGGGAAAAGGGGGAGAGGGCAGGGGGACACGAGGGTGCAATGCTCATGGCGTGGAGTGAGTGGGTGTGAAGACCATGAGGTTGCGTGCCCGAGTCATCTCTGAAGTGTTTCGATAGAAGGGAGGAGGAGCGGGGAGTGGCAATGGGAGAGACGGACAAGGTTGGGAGAGGGGGCGAGAGAGTGGGGGACAGACAGAGAGAGTGAGAGTAACGCGTGGCGTCTGACAGCCCGTTGTTGACTCTGTGGCTGCCATGGTACAGCTCGCTGTGTGGCCCTGCCACACCATCACTGCTGCATGCTCGCATCCAAGCAGCACACCCACTCACCACGCCATCCACCCCTTGCTCGGGGTGGAAGCAGCACGAACAGCGCCCTTCCCCGTGCCGCAATGAGGCGCACAGCGCGGCCCACACGCCCCCAGTGCCGCGCCATCGCACACCCCACTCATGCGGCAACCTCCTTGCATCCGCCCCTCCACGTGGAAGCTGCAGCACGGCTCGCTGCACAGCCCCGGTGCAAGAGCTCGTATTGAGCGTCTCAACTCACCGCCCCCTCCAGCCCTCTTTCAGGGTGGAAGTCGTAGTACAGCTCGCTGCATGGTCCGCACGGCCCCGTGGCGCCACTGGCCCAGAAGTTGTCGTCCTCGCCCAGGCGCTGGATGCGCTCAGGGGCCACGCCCACCTGGATTTGTGACGGTGGGTGCAGGACATAAATAAACTTCAGGCGCTGGGGAGAGCGAGAAATTGTCGTCCTCATCCAGGCGCTGGATGCGGGAAGAAGACACCCTGACCTGGTGCGGTGGGGTGGGGAGATGGGCCGGGTAGACGAGAGGCAGAGAGTAGAGAGGATGGGTGCGGGGCAAAGGGAGCCCTTTCTCGCCCAGAAGTTGTCGTCCTCACCCAGGCGCTGAATGCGCTCCGGCGACACCCCAACCTGGTGCGGTGGGGAGAGGAGTCAGGGAGAGTGAGAGGGAGAGGGGAATTGAGGATTGGCGCAGGGCAAGAGTGAAGCCCACGCCTTCTAAAGTTGCCGCCGGCCTTGCCCAGGCGCTGAATGCGGTCGGTGGATAACCCAACTGCTGGGGTAAGGGGAGGGGATACATGCATGCATGGGAGGCAAGCACCTGCACGGGGGAGAGCACGAGGCTGGCGGCCCACCTGGTCCGTCCAGATGCTGTACGCCTCGTCGTCCTCCCGAAACACACTGATCCAGATGCGCTCCGCTGGTATGCCGAACCTGATGGCCGCACGGCATGCATGGGGGGGCGGCACGGGCAATGGGGGGAGCAGGCGAGCAGCTGCCACTGAATTGAGTCGAATACGGGCAATACCATTTAGCAACTCATTTTCTACATGGCTGTGAAAACCGCTCTACTGTTTGGTGCTCTGCAACTGGTTCGGACCAACTGTTCATCATCCCCACCATCCCCACCATCCCCACCATCCCCACCATCCCCACCATCCCCACCATCCCCACCATCCCCACCATCCCCACCATCCCCACCATCCCCACCATCCCCACCATCCCCACCATCCCCACCATCCCCACCATCCCCATCATCCCCACCATCCCCACCATCCCCACCATCCCCACCATCCCCACCATCCCCATCATCCCCACCATCCCCACCATCCCCACCATCCCCACCATCCCCACCATCCCCACCATCCCCACCATCCCCACCATCCCCACCATCCCCACCATCCCCATCATCCCCATCATCCCCATCATCCCCATCATCCCCACCATCCCCACCATCCCCATCATCCCCATCATCCCCACCATCCCCATCATCCCGTAACATGTCATTATCTTTAATCGTAGTGCTTGCTATAGTGGTAGGGATCGCTGCCAAGCTGCCGCTAACCTTGCAGCAGGGTGTATATGCGCTGAGCTGAAGTAATAAAGATTTTCTAATATGGGTATTACCATTGGTTATTTGTGGTTTTTTATTTAGTGCCAGTGCCCGCTTAGCCAGCAGTGCGAGTACCTATCATCCCCATCATCCCCACCATCCCCACCATCCCCACCATCCCCACCATCCCCATCATCCCCACCATCCCCACCATCCCCATCATCCCCATCATCCCCATCATCCCCACCATCCCCATCATCCCCATCATCCCCACCATCTCCATCATCCCCATCATCTCCATCATCCCCATCATCCCCATCATCCCCATCATCCCCATCATCCCCATCATCCCCAGCTACCAACATGTCCCTCCCTCTGCCCCTGCACTCACTCCTGGGTGGCGAGCTGCCATGCCCACTGGCACGCCTCTTGCTTGAAGTAGTCCCCGAAGCTGAAGTTGCCCAGCATCTCAAAGAAGGTGTGGTGCCGCGCCGTGCGCCCCACGTTCTCCACGTCGTTCGTGCGCACGCAGCGCTGGCTGGTCGTGGCGCGGGGGACGCTGGGGGGCACCTGGAGGAGAAGGGAGGGGAGGACGGGAAGGGGTGCTTGCTGTGCTGCGCCCCACATTCCCCGCGTTCTCCACATCGCAGCTGTGCACCCAGCGCTGCCTCGCCATGGCGCGGGGGAAGCTGGGAGGCACCTGGTTGGAAGGGGGAGAACAGCGAGGAGCAAGGGAAGGGGCGGTGGCCTTGCTGTGCGCCCATGCAGCCTGCGTCCGCACATTCCCACGTCAGACCACGTCTGACCACGTCTGACCACGTCGGTCGAGCAGCGCTGGCTGACGGAGGGAGGATGGAGGGAGCGAGGGGAGGTGGTGATGAGGGCCAGGCCATGGGAGACACAGACAGGGGCAGTGGGTGAGGCCCCTGCCAACTGCACGTGCAGCAGCAAGCTGCAGCGAGCAGCAGCAGCGCGCACCGGGCCCACCCGGAAGCACCTGGCACTGAGAAACACGGGCTCACCTGGCACTGAGAAACACGGGCTCACCTGGCACTGAGAAACACGGGCTCACCTGGCACTGAGAAACACGGGCTCACCTGGCACTGAGAAACACGGGCTCACCTGGCACTGAAAAACACGGGCTCACCTGGCCGAGGAAGACGGGTTTGAAGGGCAGCATGCCGGCGATGGTGAGCAGCACCGTGGGGTCGTCCGGCACCAGCGACGCCGACGGCAGCACGGCGTGGTGGCGCGCCGCGTAGAAGTCGAGGAACTTGCGGCGCAGGGCGCTGCCCGACACTGACGGGTCCATGGCTGCTGCTGCTGCTGGGGGTGGTGGGGGTGCTGCGGGGATGAGATGGTGGTGGGACGCAGGGGCGGAAGGGGTGAGGACAGGAGGGAGAGGTTGGGGGTAAGGTTATGGCTGCTGGTAGCACAGAAGGCCAGACTCTTGCAGTGGAGAGTGGTGCGTGCCTGATATGGCGGGTCCACGGCTGGTGGTGCTGCGGCTGATAAGGGCGTGCTGCAGAGGTATGGGGAGGAATACAGAGTGGGAGGAGTGTGTGGGTTAGCGGGTACGGCAAGAGGGTTGAGTGGGGCTGTGGGAGGGACGCATGCCCTCTGGCTGCGTGGCAGTCCGGGAGCTCGGCGGCGCACAGTCCTGCTGCCACACATCCATGCGCGCACTGCTGCCACACATCCATGCGCGCACTGCTGCCACACATCCATGCACGCACTGCTGCCACACATCCATGCGCGCACTGCTGCCACACATCCATGCGCGCACTGCTGCCACACATCCATGCGCGCACTGCTGCCACACATCCATGCGCGCACTGCTGCTTGCGTCGGCGGTACGGCGGCTGGGGGGGTTGGGGGTGATGTGATGGGGGGAGTGTGGAACTGGGGGGGATGGGGGGGGTGGGGGGGATGGGGTGCTGCAGGTATACAAGCGGAAAGGGAGGGGAGTGGCGAATGCTGAGGGAGGAAGGTTGAAGGAACGGGCTTGAAACAGTAGGAGGACGCCGGGTGGAGGGAGGACGCCGGGTGGAGGGAGGAGCAAAGGGAGCGGATCGATGAGGAGGACGGGTGAGTGGGGCAGTGAAGGCGGGTTGCCAGCACGGCGCGACATGAACAGGAGGCTTGCGAGGGCGGCGAATGGGGAGCGGGAGCGACGCCTAGAAGGCGCTCAAGTGGGAGCACGGAAGGATCACTATCGCGTGGAGGGTGCTGCTGTCATCACGAGTGGAGCGCAAGAGGATTGCAATCGCCAATCGCCGGCGCACCTTCCACGGTCGCCTGCGTCGCGCCGTCGCTGCTCGCATCGGCCGTCGCTCGCACCGACACGCGTCGAGAAGAAGAGGGGAGCGCGGGGGAGGGAGAGAGGGAGCGGGGGACGAGGCGGTGGCGATCGGCAGCGGCGAAGTGGCGCCATGACGGCGACGACGGGCGCGCAAGGCGGGAGAGCGGCCGCACGCAGCGATGCGGGGGCGACTGGCCTGGAGGGAGGGGAGGGCGGGGTGGGGCGCGAGGAGACGAGTGCACACGCAATGCGGTCGATTATGGCTCTGATTGGTCATCGACATGCGCGTCGTGCTGAGCGACAAGGGCTGACCTACGAGCACGTGGCAGCCACGTGTGGACGGCAACGAGCGGTGCAGCAGCAGACGCCACGACGTGGCCATATCGATCGGCGATACCTGACGCGCGACTGGGCGAAAAAAACTGCGTCCCACCTCACTCTCGCTCTCGTGCTGTACCGCTGTGACAAGACACCGGTAGCAGGAGATGGCAAGGCACGGTGAGAGGAAATCGCGCGCTTCGACAAGAATTAAGAATGTTTCAAAACGGTCGACCCTTTTTTCCCGCGATGTATGGCATGCTCCCGTTACCTAAAACGGTCGACCCCCCCCTTCTGTACCCGTTTTCGTGTTGGGTTCAGGTGCCACTACGTTTTTTCGGGGCAGCTGGTTTGGGCAGCTGTGTAGGGTCCATTAAGGAGTAATACGACAAATAATGACCGCACATTAAGGGCTGCGGCATTCGAAAAAGGCCCGCGCAATCATTTTGGACACAACGTCCGGATTTCGACAAAATAGCGGGTGAGGTTTTCGCCAAACTCGGATTCCGACGGGGAACTTTTCCAGAAACAGGGTTTGAACCCGGATTCTGACGGGTAGAATTGGCAGAACTGGCTGTGAAACCCGGATTTGACGGGTAAATTTTGACAGAACAGAGTGCTGAACACGGATTCTGGCGGGTAGCTTTGGCCAGATACCCGGATCTGACGGGTGTGCGGTAATAATAAAATGCATGTTCGCGCAACAATTGAATTGGGATCCGGCAAATGTTTTCACAACGACCCAAAATTACATTTCCAGGCACATCAATACGAAAACGGGTACAGTTGGGGGGGGTCGACCGTTTTGGGTAGCAAGGGCAATGCCATACATCGCAGGAAAAAAGGGTCGACCGTTTCAATCCATTCTTGATTTTCTTTGAAGCGCGCGATTTCCTCGCCCGGTGAGGAGACCACGTGGCGCAGCCAGGCCCACCTCCCTTGAGGTTCCCAGGCATCCAACTTCCAACCAGTGCGTGACGCGTGACGAGTGTAGGAAATGTGATTGTGAAAATGGCGGCCTTTGTTACCACATCATCCGTCTTGTAAGGAATGAGTAATTCCTTACTGAGGCTTGCTACAGTGCGTACGGCTAGAATAGTCCCGAACCAGCGATTGGGTTCCAGACCTTTCAGTTCGAGCCTCCTGGGCGTTTCCGGACCTCGCTACGACACATCGAGGCCCTTCGATACTTTTCCCGAACCTTCCGATCCTACGTCCAGGATCGTCCTAGGCTTTCTATATGTTGTATTGTCTTTTATTTTATTGTCATTCACTCGTTCACAGTTTCGTCATTGCCCTCCGCGCTACTCGGCAGTCCCATTCATAACACTTGGTATTCAGAGCCACTTTCCTCACCCGCTGTGCTTCCGAGGGCATAACGTTTTTTTTTTTTTTTTTTTTTTTTTTTGGAGAGCCATCCCCTCGAGGGCGGTTGTGTCCGTCCTGACATGGCGAAGATTTTGAAGAGTGTTTCTGGTATGTTGTTCATTTCGCATCTCGTTAAAGGGGCTTCGGTTGCAGTTTTGGAAATTTCGACAAGCAGCAACAACGATTCGGATTGGTGTCCAAATGGAGCGAGGAGCTCGTCACGAGACGACAAGCTCGCGGATATCCCCAAACGAAATGGATTTTGTCAGGAGCGTGTGTAGCAGACGTGGCTGCATGGTGAAGTGCAGCTGATGTCAAGGGCTCGGCGTTGCGGCAGGCGACACGCAGGTGAAGACGGGACTTCGGAACTGTTCAGCAACGTGGCGTTGGAGTTTCGGCATGACCAAGGATCGCACGGCAGCACACGTGGGGCTCAGGCACGGAAAATTTCCGAGGAGTACTGACCTCGAAATTGTTTCGCGTGAGCTGCCCGCCTGGAGGTGTAATTCGTCTGCCCTGGAGTTTCGAGCTCGGCGAGTCTGGATTCTTGCAGAGGAAGCCATTTTCGTGGTCAGACATTATACACCACGATCCACAGAGGACGACCAGCAACTACCCTCGGGTCGAGTTTAAGTGCCATCCGCCGGGTCACCGCTAAAAGTCAACGACGAAGAGCTGAAGCAGAGAAGGAGAACGACTGGGAACAGCCGGGAAATTTTAAGGAGTCAGTGGCAAACGGATCCCCCCGACTGACTAGGCTGGGTCGCCCGATTTTTAGCACCACCACCAGGTACCAGTTCGGGTTTACGACTACTCCGACGGTTCTGGCCGAATAAGGGTGGTGAGCCAGCGGATCACCCTGTGTTGGTGGATCGAAATGTTTTCGGCGCTACACGACAGGCGAACAATTTGTGAAAATCGGATGCCGTACAGTGGGGAGCGCGTGAAGCAGGTTGACGAAAAAAGCGAAGGATTTTTGCGACGGAGATCGGACGGTACGCGGAGCTCGATTCCGATATGAACGGCGAGGATTTGTCGCTCCAATCGACGGAGTTGCGAGCTTTTCGAAAGAACGTGCGCGCTACTGTTTCGAGGATGACGAACGTGGGCGCTGGGTGAACAGCAGCCTACGGGGATTTTATCGTGAAGCGGCAGTTGAAGAAATTTTGAAGCAGTTTGGAGCAGATTCTTCTAGGAACGGGTTTTTTCAGGGAGGGGAAGGAGAATCCCTCACGTAAGCTGCAAAGCGGTTGCCCGCAAATTAGACTGATTAATCCGCCCAACTACGATAGCGTTTGCGCTTACCTGAGTACGGGCACACGACGGATTCACCCCTGCTCTAGAGTGTAGTCATCAAATGGAGCTTCAGGTTACTGTTGCAGTGGGAAAAGCGTGTTGCCGTCACGGAAAATTTGGAGTCATGCGGGAGTCTTCATGGATTATTCCTGAGTTGCAAAAATACAATTAACGCAACATCAAAACAGCAGAAAGCATGCATATAGCTAGCCTAGGAGCACACGGTCATGTCTCGGCAGAGCTGCGACGTGTGTTTCGTAAATTAGCGCGAAGCGCCCATATCTAGGCATGCAACAGCAAGCGGGCAATAATGTATGCGGCTCGTCAGGAGGCCGCGATTTGAATTCCGTGGCAGGGCTGCGCGGCAACCCCGTTACAGCAGTATACGCCTTACTGACTAAACCCCGTGATAAGGAAATACCATTTCCTTACACCCTCTCCCCTCCAAGGTAGGGTCTTGGTTAAGACCGTCGACATCGCGCACATTGCGTGACTGGAGGTAGACTCGTAACACCGGGTAATTCTCGATTTGTGCTAGGGGCACCCTACTTTTATCTAGGGCCGTCCGGTCCTTCCAAGATATCAGAAACTCGATTACGCGAGCCCCTCGAGAATCTTTGATCCGATGGCTCAGAATCTTCGCAGCTTCAACAGTAGGCTCGGCGAGCGGCTGGGTGTTCGGGTTCGCTCGGTAACGTGGTAGCTTAATGGTGCTGGCGATATATGGTCGAAGTAATCGCAAGTGGAATGATGGGCTGACGTTCCACGTGGCTGGTAGTAGTAGATGGGTTGTAACAAAAGATATCATATGGCTGATGGTAAATGGTCCACAGTAACGGGGGCGGATTTTTGGGACGATGTGCAGTCGAATGTTCTGGGTGTCGAATAGTACTATTCTCCCGTCTAGTAATTCACTACTCGTCGGTGTAGATCGGCGTTACGCTTACAAATAACATTCGCGCGCTTAATGGCTTCGACTGCTCGCTCCTAGTCATTCTGTAATAATTCGGCTAATTGTTGGGCTCGTGGCATTGGATTTTCGATGTTGGGCGTAATCGGTACTGTAGGCAGGTGCCCGAAGTTCAGGTAGAATGGTGACTATCGTATGATGGCTGATGGAGCGTTATTATATGCTAACTCAATCAGTGGCAGTTGCTGCTCCCAGTCGGCCACGTCATCGCAAGTGGCGCGAATCAACTACTCCGTCGTCTGATTGGCCCGTTCGGTCTGCCCGTCAGTCTCGGGATGGTAGGCGGAGAAGAACTGTAGGTACGTGCCGAACTATATCCAGAGGTTGCGCGAAAAGTTTTTGGTGAATTGCGTGTCCCGATCTGAAATGATGGTGGATGGGATTCCGTGGAGGCGAACAACGGTTGAGATGAAGAGGCGGGCTGTTTCTTCGGCTGAGATGCTTTTCTTGCAGGCGGCGAAGTGGGCCATTTTCGTCAGCTTATCGACGACGACAAATATCGTGTCATTACAACCGTCCTTGGCAGGCAATCCCGTGATGAAATCCATCGTCACCTGCTGCCACGGCACTCGGGCGGCGGATTCGGCTGCAGCTGTCCAGCTCGCTTCTGCTTCGATGATTACATGGTTTGGCAGGTTCTGCACGAAGCCACATGCCGCTGCACGTCCCTTTGCATGTCGGGCCAGAAATAGTATCTCGTCAACTGCTGCTGGGTTTTCTCGACTCCGAAGTGCCCCGGAACAGTACTGTCATGAGCTTCCTGTAAAAGCAATTCCCGAAGTAGACTGTACTCTGGTACCCAAGTACGGTCAGTCCCTGTCTTTAAGTAATAGACTCCCTTTGTCATCGCGAGCTGTTCGTATGCACCCGTCGTTAAGAATCTGTCCGCCTAGTACTCGTGGGTAAATATGTCTGTTAATAACGGGGAAGTTTGGCCAAGGATTATGGAGTTGAGATGGGCGGATGGGCGAGAAAGGGGGTCTGCAATATTGGATGTCCCTCTCTTGTAGGTGACCATGTAATGGAAGTTGGACTCCATAAAATCCAACCACCGAATTTGTCGTAGGCTAAGTACTGGCTGTGCACTAATGTACTGTAGGCTTCGGTGGTCTGTCCGTACTGTCACGTCTGCGCCCATCAGGTAATACTAACACATTTTGAATACGAGCATGATCTCGAGCATCTCCTTGTCGTGTATCGCATAGTTTCGCTCGGGCGGGTGCAGCTTTCGTGACTCGTACGCGATTGGTTGAAAAATATGAGACAATTTAGTTTTCGAACAATTTTGAAATCCACTTGTAGTAGGTTTCTCCTAGTTTTGCAATATCACAAATAATATAGCCTATGTAAAAAAGAATATGCATATGAAAAAAACGAAACAACCTTAGAAAGGTGAGCCACGCAACCCTTCGGACGCTAAGTGTTGAATCTTGTTTATGTTGCCTCAATTGTATTGTTTCCTCGTTACTCAATCC